TAGTATTGTTTATATGTCTTCATATACTGGTGCAGCAACATTTTCAACACCTCCGATCTATCTATGCTAAGGCACATAGCCGTAAACCAGATCCTGTGTGTGTTGGATGTGTTTGCAGTCCCGATCACACTGGACAGACTAATCTGAGTTCCCATTTCATACCTCTTGCTGCTTCTGTATAATTGGATAATACAGAATACATTATTTAGCTATCACCAAATTCAGCAAGAAACTCTGCCAACAGTTCTGCTCACTGAGATGCTGCATTCACACATATAGAGAAATGTAGCCCCCATCCACACTTGAGGGTAGGCGGTTTTCAGGTGATTTTGAACCATTTCTTTTTACATGTTTTTCTGCTGTTTTCTGGCTTGTGCATTTTTGTTTTAGTAGATGGAAAGATAGTTACTACAAGGAGTAGACAATTGTTAGGTGCAATATTGCACAAAAAACATGTTGCACACTTTTTTCATGTGTTTTTTCCATGCCTCTGATGTCTATGGGGCCAGAAACGTGCGTGTCCTTGGCAGTATGGTCGCAGTTGGTACTTACCAGCCACTGACTTCAGCCAATAGAAAAACATATTTATGCCGGCTAACTAAGAAAAGAGGGATTGTTTGCAGGCAAACGTTATTTACACAGGTTTTACACATCCGACTTCTGAAGGTAAAGTGGATTTTTTCACAGAGTTTTGACCACTACAATTTAGGTAATTCTAAAGAGCTGTGACATAAGAAATAATACAATAAAGAGCTTGCAACAGCATTTAGGACCCATTTAGGCCCAATGCGTTGGGGGTGTACTGGCTGTTTTTTTCCAGAGCAGCTGCAACGCAAGACAAGGCTATTTGCTTGTTCCAGATGGGCTCAGTTCACACTACTGCACTGTGTTGGTGTGCGCTAAAAAAAGTACGGCATGCAGTACTTATTTTCAGCACAGGGCAATGTGGTACAACGCAGTGCCCATAGAACTTAATTACATGTATTGGCAGGAAATGGGGCTGCAGAGCTGTCATGGAAATTTGCAATTTGCCTACAGTTTGGCACAGTGTCTCACCAGCCAAAAATGAATTGTTTTCTTGTAAGCAAAAGGGCAGTGGAATTTCTCTGTGTGTCTTTATGTACCGTCACTGGGTAGATGAGGAGATTATGGTGGATCCCGGTAGTCTGGTGATGTAGGAAGAGATAAAGTACAAGCAGATCTCTCACAGCCCCTGACATCTTCTTCTGTCTGCACCATTAAAGTGAAACTCCATTTCAAAAAATGTCCTCCTAGAATTACTTTCATTCATGGAAAGAAATGTAGCAGGTGTACCTGTTCTGTAGATGGTGAGATAGAAGTTGCCTCTGTCTAGGGAAGGTCTGATATGCTATGATGAAATGGCCAGTCTGGCGTTGTAAAGAAACATTTCACAATTCATACATTCTTTTATGGTTGGAATATGTGTCCCCATTATCTCAATATCTCCCATTCATACTCTTACAGTGCGTTATTTCATTTTTTTTTGGAGTTGAATTAAGGCAGCCCAAAATTTTTGAGAATGAAACTTGATCACATTGACACATCCTAATCTGGCTCCCCCACTTACCTGAATCCATGGGGTTCTTCTTCCTGTAGGCTGCTGTTTTTTTTTTTTTATCTGGCGCGGCTGTGCGTGGTTCTTGCCTACACAAATGCATCATCCATTCACAAATCCTTTGACGGGATCTTTAAACTGAGAAGCAAAAAGTCCCATCTGCAACGGCGGCTGAGACACTTCTGAGTTTTCAATGGAATACAAGTGCAGTGGCTCTGGTCCCTGTTACTGAATATCCATACCTCGGTACAGACAGGGACGGGGGTCAGGTCATTGCACCACAATCCACTGATCGCAGTTGCAAGGCTTTACTGGCTCCTATGCAAAAAAAAAAAAAAATGCAATTTTTTTTCTTTTATGGATGTGTGCATTTATTATTTAGACTTTAGCTTTAACCTCTGTTACCATGCATTCCAAAGCAATTTTCTTATCCAAACCAGCTCTGCCGCCCCAACAGGCAATCTTGTATTGTTTGCCTCTATTCACACTGGTAGCCGAATGGTATTACTTAGTACTCCACCTGTGCAAAGCAGTCATGAGAGGAAAATGGACACAGTCATTGCTCACTTGCCACTGAAAATGATATATGTCTATCTCTGCCTATCGAACTTTAAGCTACTGGCCCAGAACAAGCATGCAGAAAGTGAAGTCCGAAATTCTGATCTGCATATTCGTCTGCAATTCATACTATTTTGAAGTCAGGATCAGCCAGGCAAATGGCATTTTCCCTCCCTGTTTTTTCTCATGAAACGTCTCCTTTAAGTCAAGTGTCTCAATAAAATCTTTCACAGCAACAAGCTCGGAATTGCTTAGTTCCCTTTAAGCTGCCCAGCAAGGTGGTGCATGCAGCCTTCACTGGCATACTGTTGCAGCATCTGTCTCTGGAAAGTAGATTACACTGGAGGCTCAACTACAGGAGTCTTGTCTGGCACTCGATGTTTGATTTGTGCTGCACTGGCAGCACTGCTGCCTGCTCGGCAGCATTCATATTGATGTTTTGCCGTTTTCAGCGCTTCCTCCCTAAGGGTACCCCATGTTGTCGTCATTTAAGCAGCCAAATTCGCAGCCACACATAATGTGGATCTCTGTCAGTTCCCTCCGAGTGCCTGGCCTGATGTGCAGGCGTGGAGTCTGGCAGCAATGAATAAGCTCTTTCTACAGCCGGCTTAGCAGCAGCTTCTCATGTTGACTGAGCATTTTTTTTTTAGTAGCTGCTGTGCTTCTGCATTTGTAACAGACGAGCCCCATTTTTTTATGCACTTGCTTTTTTCCCCCTTTTAATAAAAGCATGGTAGCTCGAGGGGAAATGGCACGATTTTGGAGTCTGGAAAGTCTTCACATGGGTAGGTGTGAGTCTGTTAATATATATCTGTCGCTCTCTTGGAAGTAGTTGACGTGAATGATTTGGGAGGTGAGTGTTGCTGTATATGGTGTGGATGGATTCTTACTGCAGGAAAGCTGGATTAGGATGTGTGCTATGCGTTACTACATGAAGCATCTTGTCTGGAAAAAATGAGGCAGAATCAAGGCATTTTATATATATATGTTTTATTTCCATGTCATGTTTTAGAACACCAGAAGAAAGCTTGGGGAAGCACGCCTTGACAGCTTTGCGTAATTAACACCTTCAACTGTGTCTTGTTGGAAATTAGAATTGCTTGTCTGTGTGTTGTTGACAAGTGGTTTTCTTAAAGGGTCAGCCTACTTAAAGTGAATTCATGAGAAAATATTTACTGGAGCTGCCATTTGCAGAGTTATTTGCTTATTTTTTTTTTAAGCTGATCCTGATCCTTGCTTTCACCATTTAGTAAGACTACCTACATGTAAGACTGGAACATGTATGCATGCAGTAAAGTCTGAACTGTCTTTACTCAATGGTTGTCCCAGGTCAGGAGCTCTTTAGATGTTGAAGAAAGCATGTGGATGGCAGCTCCAGAGCCTGCTTCTTTCAGCACTGGCAGCTTCCATAGTGATCCTCCTTTTATAGTTTCTTTTAAACTGATATTTCCAGTACGAGTTCTCTAAATACCTTGTTGGCCACTTATGTCCATTAGGAACTACAGTGGCTCATCTCCTGCCTTGTTCCTGGCTGGGCCATCCTCCTTTAGCTGAGTCTCATTCCTTGTAACAGCCACAGCAGACAAGTAGCCCTGAGAATGTCACATGGTGGAGTATTTGAGCTGTAAGGCCCTTTTCACACAGGCAGTCCATTCAGGTCCGCCTTTCAGGTGGATCTGATCAGAAGACCAATGCAACTCTATGGGCAGCCAAACGTAAACGGATGTGCGATTACATCTGATTACCCCCGACTCTTGTGATGGTTGAAAAAACTAAACGGACACTATCCGTACTGCTTTGATACATGGATCCCCTGCTGATTTGGAATGGATGGAGCCTGTGTGAAAGGGGCCTAAGAAGACTTTGGGGTATTTCCACTCCCCAGCATCTGTCTGCCAACATGTTTGCCATTGCCAACCTCCCCTACTGTAAATTCTAGTTCCCTGCATGTTATGCTGATCCAGTGGCTTTCATACTTTTGGAGTCATAAATCAAAAAGAAGCATGCAGATCAGGATCTGAGTTTTGTGATTTGAATGCCTGTTTTGGGTCATAGGTCACCCGTGGCAGCCTCCATATAGCTCCCAGCATCGATTTTCTTTTATAGTGATGGCAATAATGATACAATTTCTTCTGACTGTATTGAAATGCAATTTAAGATTAATGAGTTTATTAAATAATTAAAAGAGCAAGTGTTATCCATATTGTTTGGTTTAGCAAGGGATGATCTGGACTTGCAATGGCATAAGGGACTATTACGTTTTGCCCTACTGAAGGCACATGCAGTGCCTATTTGAGGAATGATTCAGTCAGCAAAGATAATGGACCTGAGACACTTCTAACATGGTCCCAACTTCTGACTTCATAAAAACAAATCAATCACATGGTCTCCATTTCTATACTGGCTACACTTGACACACTGATACACGTCAAGTTAAATTTAAAAAGCCATATATTTGTGTTGTGAGTTTTTGTTTCATTGCTCATGAACTGTTTATTTTTTTTAATTATTTCTGACATTTGAAATATGTAACACTACATGACTAGGTTATACCAAAATGGCTGCCTAACAGATGTGCTTTAGAGTAAATTGGGCAGCTGCTAGGCTGGCAAGTCTCAGGTAAGCTATGCACGCTGTGTCTCACATTTCTGCATATGTTTTCCAGTGCGATCCAGCTCTGAGGTACAACCAAGGTAGAACAAATGTTTTCACTACATCTGCTGCATCATTGCACGTGTCAGGACTATATTAACGTTTCTAAGCTTTCACACCCTTCTGTAGCAGATGCTTCTGCTGCGCATGGTCTTTTAATGAGTCATATGAAGAGTTGTTCAGTGGTTTCATATTGAAAGAAATGCTGGCTTGTTTAAGGGCTGTACCAACTTCATGCCAGGACATGGTGAAGGCAGTCATTATGTATGTTCAGGCAACGTTCTGAAGAATAGAGTATTTATAGGGCATCTGGTGACCCCCAATGAAGCTTTTACATGTTACTGATCAAAGTGGTGGCTCTTGGAATTTTCAATTTAAGATGATAAATATGCCAACTATAGATGAAGGTATGGCAGAATGTTACTGACCAACTTTTATGCCCTTCCTTCCAACCATCAGATGGTTCAGTGCCATGCCTTCTTTCCTTGTCCTAGGATACCCACAGTCTGTATTTTCAGTAAAATTCTGACATGTTTTCCAGGAAGAAGTGAGGGTCTGACACAGGACATGAGATATAATCATAATTCAATTTGTGCTTATTTAAAGTGAACTTGTAGCATCCCAGACTTGGTAAACTAACAGCCAAGCAGAGCATCATGGTGTCTGCTAACTACTATAAATGTGCGCAGAATAACTTCTGTGCACCCAGAGGTCCCTGAAACCCTAGATACATGCCGCCCTGAAATCTTCAGAGTTACTCTGATTTCATACTCTGTTCTGCCCTCAACCCTTTTCTGTTCCAGGCCTCCCACGCTCACCCTGTTAAGGTCTTTTACAATGCAATGTATGCATTGTATGTGGCACCCCCCCACCTCTATTCAAGCTTGACTTCTCCATTATTCCCAGAGAATTTTTGTACAAGTCATACTGAATTGAGAAAGCTGGTTGGATGTCCAGTGAAACGTCTTCAAGAAAAATACAGCAAGTCCAGTTGCCTTGACTTATTTTTTGCAGATATATTTAGATTCAGGTTCTGTAACAATCTTTTCATGTCCTTTGCATGACTTCTTGATCTGATTGCAGAATGTATCCGAGTAGTGCTCAGCACTGGAAAGAGAAAATCTGCCGCAGATAACACAGACGTCACCATTGCTTTATGATTCTTATATCGGCCAATTTACACATAGCTGCAGTAGGCACAGATATGAAATTGAAAACTTAACATGTGAGTTTAAGTAGAATGTATGAACAATCTTACACAGAAGAATGTTGTCAGAACAAATCTGTCTGTATTGGTGGTGTTTACATTTTCTGTGTTGTCAGTCCCTGTTCACACCTGGGCGTTTTGATGCTCAAAGCGAAGCGCAACAAAACTCTCAATGCAACAAATCCCATTCATTTCAATGGCCCCTGTTCACACCTGAGTGTTTTGTCGCAAACTGTAAAATGCCGAACGAAGGAAAAAGTACATGAGCTCTTTTTTTGCACATTTTTTTCCGCGCATTTGTCCATTCACTGTAATTTCTTTCCATGTGCTTGCTAAAACACACGTCTTCATGTGTGCATGTCTAAATGTACAAAACACGCGCTGATGCCTAGATGTGAACGGAGCCTAAATCATTTTTGCATGCCTTCTTTCCATGGGGCCAGTATTGAGAGAAATATGGTGCTGCCACTGCTGACCACCTCTGAAAATGCTATTTGCCTGGATTCTGTGGCTTCCATACTTTCAGTCTCTGACCCAGAACAAGCATGCAGATCAAGAAAGTCAGTAAAGGCAAAACTATCGATCTGCATACTTGTTCCAGGTCAGTGACTGAAAGTTCTGAATACACTGGACTACAATGACACCCAAGGATCTAGTATTTTCTGGGGGAGGTTAGCAGTTGTAGCTCCCATCCTTCCACAGTAGAGCATCCCTTCAATATAATCAGACAGTTGTACACAATATACATACACATTTTCTGTTCCTAGAAGCATGGTGAAAGTATGTGCAAATGTCACATGTAGTTTTCAGAAAGACATTTTTTTCAGGAGAAGAAATCATTACCATTTGAAGAACCGATGTCTTGTATAAAAGTTTTCTCCTGGTTGTTGACCAGTCTGACAGTTGGTGTTGCCCCCATTGTAAAACCTGTATACCCTAATGGGTACCGTAGTACTGAGTCTCTTGTTAACTGCAGTTTAAGCATGGACAATAACTGGATTGCATATGGAGGGGGCAGTTTTTTCCAGGGGTGTTTGTTTTATTTTGCAGAGGTTAATGTGTCACTGGCCACTGTGTCCATGTGGAAGGAAGACCCAGAGCCCAGATTTCGTTAGGCTGATTGTTGTCTGACACCTATACTGTTGGGTTGTTGTTACTAAATAAATAGAAGTTGAAGCATTTATCAAGAACAATACAAATGATAGTTGGATTTTTTGTGTCCACATTTGGTATGTTCTCTGTGGTAATAGCCTCCTAAAGAATCTATTTCCTATGACTTACACTTTGTCCTTTCCTTAGTCTCTACAGATGGAGGAGCAGAATCTACCACTTTGGTTGATGATAATGGAAGTGAGGAAGAATACAGCTATGAAGAACCCTACCAGGCCAATCCAAGGTATCTGCAGCAGGGAGGAGAACAGCTGGCCATTAATGAGGTAAGTTTCATCTGTCTATTCAGTTGTCCTGCATGGGTGATCATGTCTTTTATATACCTGGGCATCATGGGTTTCAGATAATTGCATACCAAGGTAAAAGTATATGTCCCTTTTTATTCCTGAAGTTTGTTCATTTTCTTTTCAACGCTTTTCAGTTTTGGGTAGGTATTGGTGGCCTGAACTATCCATCGACTTCTCCTCTAAATGGTGACAGTTCACTAGTAATGTGTGTATCATCTGCCTTTCATAAGGGAAATCACTGCAGCATACCAGAAGCCCAGCACATCACAATGGCAGCTGAAAACCCCTATTTTTAACACAAATTGTAAAACAGTGCAAGCTTTTATTTTGCACGCTAGCCAGTGTGCAGGAAATTTTTTGTGTTTTTTGTATTGTCCACAAACATTCCCACATAATAGCTAGGCATTCCAGACCTATCCAGAGGTTTGTGCAGCTCTCTGTACCACAGGCAGTAGTGTATGCTCTATATGACAGCCTACTGTCTAGTAGGTTGTGGGCGTGGACTTGGACTTGTATTGGAACTTGCACATGAGTCACCCACTGCTGCAGTCCCACTGAGAAGGCTGGAGCTATAAAATCTAATGAGGCATAATTTGTGTCCCTTCCCATGAGATGAGGAAAAAGCCCTTGCCCTGATTATGTATCATAAAACATTGCATAAGTAGAAGAAAAATGTTGAACCACTACGTGGCTCTTGTCCAAAACACTGATTAATCGTGACAAAACCTGGCCTGATCTGCTGACTCCCTTTCACATAAATTACATCATCGTACGTCTTCTGCACTACCACACTTGTTACTGGGCCTATAATAGCAAGTCCATCGTGAATAAATGTACAAAGTCAGCATATGGAGTGTCACTCTGTGACAAGCAAGCACTGCTTATGCTGCTCCCTTATTTGTAAGGGACAGGCAAGTGTGCCTGTGCCCCCCTTCTACCCCTTTGGCTGACATTATGCTTTATGTTGGGACACGTTGGATTTGAAGTTGTTTTGAAGTTGTTGGTTGAAGTTGTTTTTTTTTCTGTGGCTGCGGTGAGCCCATCTTTTTTAAAAGGCGGCTGGGTTATCCATTCCTTCGAATTTTTAATTCTGACTCAGCAGTGTTCTGGTATGTGACCATTTTAAATTAGAAAAAAAAAGCTTGTCTAGTAATCAAGATTTCTTAGTCAAGAAAGATGTAAAACCAAACTCCAGGAAAAAATTATCATTTGTACACCATGTACACCCCCTGCCCACAGAACATACAGCTTTTAAGTGATAGTTTGTAAACTTTATTTTTTTCCCCAGAGTTTGGCTTTATTGACAGAAAGCACATCAAACCCTATTGCACATACTTCTTGTGAACCCATACACAGATGTGAGTGCTGTGGGTGGTACCATTTAAATCCAAATGTAGAGAGTCAGCACACCAGAATAAGATCCAGATAAAGAACTCATTAAAGTCCCATATCACAACAAAACACCTGATTTAATGATTTAAGACATCTCCCAATGAGATTGAGTTTTGTGGTTTCCCATGGGGGAAGGTCAGAGTTCCTCTTTGTTTCATTGAGATAGTTGTGAAATCCCATATGATGAAATGATCTCCAGTTACCGAACATTAACTTTTAAAATTTCCCTCAGCTGAATTTTGTATTGCATCGTTTGTATAGTACTATTTTCAGGGAGAGTAAAAAAGAGAAGCAATCCATGTTGAACTATATTTATTTTTGTCTTGTTAAAGGGATATTGTTTCTAAAATAATCGACAATTGTAAAACATAATCTATAGAAAGTCCAAAGATCTCCCATGTCTAAATGAACATTTCAATAGAATTCTGTACTTACTTTCAGCACACACTGGGAGGAATTCATAAAAACTGGAGCAGACAGAATCTGGAGCAGGTGCCCATGTCAACCAATCACCGTTTGTTTCATTTTCAAAGCTTAACTGGACAAACTGAAAAGAGACGCTGATTGGTTGTCATAGGCAACTACTCCAGATTCGGTCGGCTCCAACTTTTATGAATTCCCCCATTGTTGTCCATCTTTCAGACTTAGCTCCACACTTTTGATTCTTGGACAAAGCTTCACCTCAGGGCTGATGTGAAGTAATAAGACCACCCTGATTTGTATGGTTTAAGATTAGACCTCTCATTCTGGAACAAATGGGACAATTAAAGCATAAAGGAACCAACCAGTATACTGAGAACAAAGGAGGCCTGCAAGTAGCAGAGTTCAGCAGCAATTTGATGACCCACTGATTGGCCAGTGTTGGTCTTCTAAAGGAGGGAGGGGGGAGTTTGGGAAAATCTCACCATCGAGATCAGTCCCTATTGCACATGGAGATCTCTGTGCAATGAGTAACTTCACAGTGGCACATCAGTTACCGGCTGCATTGTGAACACAGCAGCAGATTTAAGAAGGTCAGATGTGTCATCCAGTAATTGATCAGACCACTGACATCTGTAGCTGTAGACATTGTGACGTATGGGCCCACACTGACTTCTATAGCTGTAGAAACTGTGGAGCAATTCATCCTCAAAGTTTACAAGAGAAGCAGTGAAGTCATTCATGCCCAGTCTCAGCACTTTGCTCTCCCCTCTTCCTGTGCACTTGCTTTGTGTTTACAATAAAATCTAGAAGGCTTCCAAGTCACTGCTGGGGGAGGGTGCACTTCTACTGTTACATTTTAAGAACAATTTACAATGTCTTAGAAAAGAATATGGACATTTAAAGATCTAGAATATCTATAGGTACTAACATCCCAGAGACACTTAAATGAGACAAAAAGCAAAACCTACTATAGCATCTACTTGCCATTTGTAATTGGTGTGTCCAAAATAAAATTGCTTGTCACAAATTTACATTATTTTTGCATTATTGTTAAATAGGTCCTTGGTGTCAAAGTTTGCAGATTTTTAAAAAATGATTATAATTTACTTTTCAGTTGATCAGCGATGGCAGTGCAGTGTATGCAGAGGCATTATGGGACCACGTGACCATGGATGATCAAGAGTTGGCCTTTAAAGCAGGAGATGTTATACGAGTCCTTGAGGCTTCCAATAAGGACTGGTGGTGGGGTCGGATTCGAGACACAGAGGCCTGGTTTCCAGCAAGTTTTGTCAGGGTAAGTTCTGTTGTACTCTACTTGCAAATTACCTTGATGTATTAGGTCTTTTGAGGAACATCAAGAGCACGCAGGTTTGGACAAGGAAAGGCTTGACATGTAGGCCCTTGTAGTACTCTGTGTAGGACCACAGATTATGCTGCCACTGCTTAAAATGTAGCCTTCAGCCTATTATTTTTAATGTTTTTACCCCCATTTGGTTAGATTGAGGACGAATCAGAGGCTCTTTAAAAGAGAATTATGAGGCGAGTGATTTTCACTCGGCCTCATAATGTGAGCCGACCTGTGACAATGCAACTGTCACAGGTCGGCTCAGTAGTTCGGGAAGTGAGCGAACACATATCGTCGCTTGCTCACTTCTCGATCTATCCCTGCAGAGAGCCGTGACTGTCACTCGCGGCTCCCTGCAGGGATCCCCTCCCCCCCCCAGTCCGATCCTCCAGCACTGACTGGCGAAACGGAAGGGGGGGGGGCACAGCTGGCTCTGCCTCTGGATAGGCAGAGCCAGCTGTCAATCCCGCAGCTGGGTGGATCCAGACAGTATGTCGGGATCCGTCCAGGCTGTGGCGTCTCAGTATACTGCGAGCTGCAGCTCGCGGTATACTGAGCTTTGGGTCACGGGAGGACGCTAGTTTGTGTTCTACCGTGACCCTTAGGAGAACTATGGGGAAAAGAACTGACCCCATAGTTCTCCTTTAAAGGTTTGTATTGCTGTCCATTGGGGAGATTCCCTCCACTTGCTGTACCAGGGCAATGGTCAAAGGCACAAATGGTGATCAGGAGTGCAGATGGCAATAAAATTCTGACAAGGGTTCTGAACATTTTCCACTCTGTAAAAAAAAAAAATTAAAAAAAAAGTTTGATTTTAAAGCTTAGTTCTTGGTGGGCTTTATAATTTAATTACTCATTTGTATGGAGCCTTTTCCTCCTTATTGGTATTTTTTTATAATGTGAAAAAAGACTCCTGCAAGGTCGTTACCTGCGTACAAACATTAGCTGTGCGATTCTTAACCCTGGGAACATTCATGTTGTTGGGTCTATTTAATCTTGGTTTTGTTCTTTGCTTCAGTTTGTTTCAACAAAGCTATGTATTGAGCCATTCAGTAAAGGACAAGTCCAATGCCAATGAGTCATCCATTCTTTTTGTAAATTTCAGCTTGAGCTATGGAGCTTGTAGAACAGCAATTAATAGAGATACATATGTTAAAAAAAAAGAAGCCTAAAGCACCACCTGCTGGCTCAAAAAGAGAATATAAAATAGTAATATGTACTATTTCATATTTACCTGACAAATGATTTTTAAAGATCTTCTTTTTTCCAGTTTTTATCATAGAAAATAAATTATAATGAAGTGATATATTGCACTTAAAAAAATACTGGCATATGAACCAATTTATCATTGATTAACTATTTTGTGTTTTTTATTGTTTTAGCTGCGAGTAAATCAAGAAGATGTTTCAGAAAATTCAGGCAGTCTACATGATGAAGAACATGACACTGATATTGGCAAATTTCGCCTTAAGAGTCCTGAAAACAAGGACCAAATGAGAACAAACGTCATCCGTGAGATAATGAACACTGAGAGGGTCTACATCAAACATTTGAAAGACATCTGTGAGGTGTGTTTTCCAGCTATTTGTAACAGATGGTTTGTTATTACCTGACCATGCACATATTCGTACTAGGTGCTATAGTCATTCTGCACCAATCACATTAGGAGAACCTGGCACTTGTAAGTGTTCTGTGTGGCTCCTGAACCATATGCCTTGTGTGTTAAGCTGCCTGCTAATTGGGTAAATATTATGTTAAGGTTAAGATTTTACTGGATAAGAATTGTTTCATGTATTGAGCAGTAACCCTTCTCAGTACGACTCTGAATCTATACATAAACAGTTGGGTACTGGACAGCTGGGGATTGTACAGTGGCTGCCCTGTCCAGGTGTCACATCCAGAGGGTCACTGGGGATGCTGAAAATCACTGTGCTAAATACAGTCAGCAGTATAGTATAGTTACATAGTTACATAGTATTTGAGGTTGAATAAAGACATTAGTCCATCAAGTCCAACCTATTAGGATCTCATTCTAGGAGTACCTGTACCCCTGTATATTACGGTCCCTTAAGAAATCGTCCAAAAGTTTCTTGAACAATTCCACATTCTTTGCTGAAATCACTGTCTGTGGCAGTGAGTTCCAGACCCTAACTGATCTTACTGTGAAGAACCCCCTTCGCCCCTTGTGCTGGAATTTTTTTTCCACCAATTTTAGGTGGTGGCCTCTAGTTTTTGTAATGGAGTTAATTTTAAACAGTTTATCGCTAATGTTGCTGCCACCATTGAACATTTTGTACATGGAGATCATATCCCCCCTTAATCTCCTCACCTCCAATGTGAACATGTTTAAATTTAGTAGCCTTGTCTCGTAGCTCTGGTCCTCCATACCCCTAATTAGTTTGGTTGCCCTCCGCTGGACTTTTTCCAACTCAAGGACATCTTTTCTTAGTACTGGTGACCAGAACTGGACCGCGTACTCCAGATGAGGTCGAACCAATGATCTATAAAGTGGCAAAATTATAGACTTGTCCCTGCAATACATCCCCTTTTTAATACAGGACAAGACCCTGCTAGCTTTGTTTACAGCAGCCTGGCACTGCAAACTACCTTTCAGTTTGTGGTCTACAATGACCCCCAAATCCTTCTCCATTTCTGACTTCCCTAGCGGCATACCCATAATTGTATAACCCATTTGTTTATTTTTAATTCCAAAGTGCATTACTTTGCATTTATCGACATTAAACCTCATCTGCCACATTAATGCCCACTCCCCTATTTTATCCAGGTCCTCCTGTAATGTTATAATGTCTAAGTCCGTGTCTATTACCCTCCCAATTTTGGTGTCATCCGCAAACACGGAAATATCGCTGTTAACACCCAGTAGCCTGTGCTAAATACAGTCAGCAGTGTCCTGTTCTGGGAGCGTCTGGAGCGACTTGCCTTCCGTACTCTGGACAAAGTGAGTGGCTCATTCCACTACTTGCCCATTCAGCAAAGGTATTGTATTTTTTTTTTCAGTGCATACAAGGAGTCCAATGGTTGGACTAGGTGGTGGTTGTCAGGTTATTCACCCCTTCTGTCCAGTGAGAGCCTTGTATTCATTGAAGAAAACGCAAGATGTTTGTTCAGTGGCATAGACGAGCGAGCAAGCGATTCTGTGGTTAATGAACAGCTGATGAAGTTGCTCTAGCAGCACCTAAAAGAGGACAGTGCTGATTTGTATGCAGCACATGCTACTGCAGTGAACTTCTGAATCCCCAGCACCCCCCCCCAGAGGAGGCACATGAATAACTACATGTAACCAAGCTCAATGTAAGTTTGCAAATTCCTGGAGTTCAGCTTTAACCCCTTCCCACTGCCCGTACGCATATCTGTTGCAGCATGGCAATGGGCTTTACTGCCATGCTGTCACCTATGTGAATACTGACTGCAGGCTTCACTGTTCTGTGATGGGGGGTGCACTCAGTTGATCATCCCAAGCACTGGGACCACGCTCTCTACAACCTCTACTGTTTACAATCAGGATGCAGGTAGAGTGGGTTTTTGATCATGTGACCACTGTGACAACAAATCACAATGATCAGGAAGCATTGGCAATATCTCTGGTTTTAAGATCCCCTTAAATGTCTGGCATCCACCATAAGAAATGGGTTAATAAAGCCTCACGTAAAACATTCATTGGTGCCCTACCATGCTTTTAGCCATGCCTTTTTATTGGTCCATTATGTAATAAAAGGTTTTACTGAAGAATTGCAAGGCTGTATTTATTCACAAATCTTGACTTTACCTGTATTTCTGTCCATCTGGTCCTGAGATTTACACAGCTCTGACACAGAGCACAGCCTTGTTTGGGAAGAGAGGATAATAGAGTTTTCTGCTGCAGTTAAGCAGCACTAAAGCTGACCATACACTGGCAGGTTTTCATACAAACCTTCATACTAAAAATCTTGTGGACTTGAGCAATGTTCAAAATTTTGCTTTTATGATTTCTTTAGCTAGAAATCATTCTGACCAATGAGCATCTATTTCCTATCAGGGGGCTAGTATGATAATTTCCATCTTATCATTAGGGATACCGTTGTTATTTATTGAGTTTACATATGATAGTTACCGCTGGTTGGCTCGTTCACATCGCACGCCAGGGGACCAAAAACGGAAACATAAATTTATTAGAAGGAGAAAAGAAAGAAAGAAAAGAAAAAGGATAAGGAATGGAGAAATGGAGACTCCTGAGCACCGGGTTTCTGAATCAGAATTTAACCTGGGTTAGCTGACGATGTGCGAGGAGGGTTCAGAATTCCTAGATATGTCAGCCATGGGTCCTATACCGCTTGGAAGTTGTGGTATCTATCTTGTAAGATGCTATATAGCTTTTCATGTGTCATGATCCAGTTTAGTTTAGATAGTACCGTAGAAAATGGGACCCTTTCGGCTTTCCAGGACCGAGCTATTGATAACTTGGCTGCTAAAAAAAAGGATAGTAGTTTGCCCTGCCCCTTAGTGATCCCCTTAACTGATTTATTCAATAGCAGATGCTGGGGGTCTCTTGGGACATGCACCCGGAGAATTCTAAAGAGCAAGGCAAAGAAACGATTCCAGAAGGAACGCAGTTTTGGACACTGCCACCAGACATGAATCATCGTGCCCAGCTGATTACATCCTCTAAAACATAAAGGACTAGACCCTGGGAACATGGTGGCTATCCTTGCTGGGACCAGATACCATCTGGAGAAAACTTTGTAGTTGGCTTCCAATAGGGAGACATTAAGCAATCGCATAGTTAATCTCGTGGTGCACTGTTTCCATTCGTCTATAGAGAGGACTTCCCCTAGCTCGGCTTCCCAAGCAGCCATATAGGACAATTTAGTGAACGGGCCAAGCTGAGCCACGTAGATTATGGAGATCCCCCCTCCTAGACCAGGGGCTCCCAGACACCACCTTTCATAATGTGTCAGCAGCGGAGTGCCAGCTTCCGGTAACTTTAATGACTGTAGGAAGGACTTTAAGGACTGTTGGGTCAAAATTATGTTTGTTTTTCCCATTAGATTTTGGAAATTCATGGAGTTTCTTGAATGAAAGCCCCGTTCTTAGAATTCCGTTAGTTCGTCACGCTCCTTTGAACTTTTTTTGCCACTGTGGTCACAAAAAGATCATTGATTTATTCCATTAACTTTTAGAAAATCAAACTTTCTGAAAACAATTTTTTCTAAATAAATTCTACTGGTGTATGGTCGGCATTACAGGTGTTTGTCCTTTCCTCAGCCTATGACTCAGAAGTGAAAGGAGAAGCAGCACACTGATTACTTTTATCTCTACTTTTCCCTTACCTTCTATCTGCGTGCCCCTTATTGGCTTACAAGAAGTGTAACACAGCTGACTGGCTCCTTGCAATATTTCTCCTTTTTTTGTGTGAGATCTACTGTGCAGGGATTGCAAAAGTCTGCTACCAAGTCAAATGTAGACTGCTTTCATTATTAATACACTTAATTAGATATTCAGGTGTACAGGGCTGCATTCATTTGTGCCTCTTAAATCTTATGCTTAAAGTTCAGCGTCAAACCAGTAACAATTTTCATTATATACGGCTCTTATCTAGACTTTGACAACACAACCAGACGAGGTCAGATCTGGGCTACCTGTAAATCTGCAGTTGCTGAGCAGCTCCAAGTTTTACCTTGCTCAGCTTGGCCCCAGGGGAAATGTAGAAACAGTTATGTATGTTCCCTGTTAACACCATATATGTTCGTGGTGTGCAGACAAACGTGGCTGTGAACAAGCCCTTAGCGTGCCATAGGTAGCACATGCCTGGCCTAAATTTCACCAAACCTTTTTACTGCACTTTGCTTGCAATAATCTGGTGACTATTTCATCTGTCATTGCAGGGCTACATCAAGCAGTGTCGAAAACACACCAGCATGTTTACTGAAGGGCAGCTCAAGACCATTTTTGGTAACATTGAAGAAGTCTACACATTCCAGAAGGCATTCTACAAGAATCTAGAAAAACAGTACAACAAAGAGGAACCTCATCTAAGTGAAGTTGGTGCTTGTTTCCTAGAACATGTGAGTTAATTTAAGCTAAATTCATATATATCTTGCTGGAAGGGTTTCATTATGTCACATTGATTAAAGTGTCGCAACCCAAAACCATAAAATGTCATATACTGCAGCCTGCCAATCCTTAAATGTGGAGTCTGCATTTAAGTTTTTTTTCTTTTTTTAATCTTTTTTTCCCCCCTTTATTTTGCCCTGGTGATCTGACCAGTAACACACTTCCTGCTTTAGAGTGTCTCCACTCCACTCTGTTGAGGCGCAATGTAGCCACCATTCGACAGTAACATTGTTACCCTGGGTAGAGGGTGACTTGTTAGATATGTTGGAAAAACAACAGCATATTACTGACATTCTGATGTTAAATGTCTTTTGAGCTGAGATGGCAGTGTAGTGCATGTTGCGCTCTATGTCCATGCTTCTCTTTGATACACAGGAAGCTGATTTTTTTCTAATATCCGTTTTCCTCACAATGCTGTATTCAGATGTAATATTCTTCTAAGCAAGTAAAACGTAATTCCGCATTCCTTGTGATCTCAGTGCTTCATCGAAACACATAACCAACAAGATGCACTAGCAGGTTTAGATGGACTTGACTAACAAATTGGCTACGCTTTTTAAGCAGTTGCAGCAACCGGGGTTTTTTTCCTGTTGGAATAAAGATTTTACATAAATGAATAAACGCTGACTATAGTAAGCAAGCTGCCAAATGGTTTGTGTCAACCCTCTAACTTCCAATTTTGCCAGACAGTTTGGACTGTTAAGGAAGTTGAAAAATAAGACTTACTGGTGGATCACCAAGTGGAAATAAAGGAAAAATGTCTAACAAAAAAAAACTAATGCAGCCTCCAGATTTAGGGATTGGTAAGCTGCAATATATTACATTTTTGCTTTTGGGTTCAGATATGGTTTATGTTGTAACAGGTCAAAACCCCTAAATTTGAAGTCCAACAGTACACCTAATAAGCCTACAAGGGTTAAAACGGGTTATAGAACAGGGAAAGGGGAAGTCAAGGAAAGATTCCCACAGCTACAGTGCTGCAATGTCCTAAGCTAACCAAGTTTGCTTCTTTTTGATTTGCAGCAAGAAGGGTTTTCAGTCTACTCTGAGTACTGTAACAATCACCCCAGTGCCTACCTGGAGCTCTCCAATCTCATGAAGCAAAGCAAGTACAGACACTTCTTCGAGGCTTGCCGACTTTTGCAGCAAATGATCAATATAGCCATTGACGGTTTCCTGCTGACTCCAGTCCAGAAGATCTGCAAATACCCACTGCAGCTAGCCGAGCTACTGAAATACACAACCTACGATCACAGGTAGGCAGGCACCTGTTACTTGCGTAATTAAACCAAGTGGAGACAGGCCATGGCACTGTTCCAGGATCACACTGCGTGTAGGTTTAGAGCTAAAACATACATCTGTGTACATTTAAAGGGAAACTAAAATGGTGTGGTGTCTGTTTTCATGAAAAATATTTTGTACTGATGTTTTATATCTGTGTTAATACTTTTTGTATAGAATAAACACACCATCTATGTTGCTCAGACAAAGCCGTCTCCTAAGAAAATACTACTCCAATCATGCAATATCTCTGTTTATATACTATACAATGTATTATAATCTATGCTGTTTGGATACCATTCTATTTATTATATACTATACTATTTATATAACATTTTTGTACTACAAATAACCATTTAATACAACTTGCAACAATGGCACAGGATTCCCATAGAAATATGGTTTTTCTAACAGGATTATATATGATAAGCCATTTTTCTACTCTCTTAGACATTGTACTGAGTCATCTGTACACATCGAGCAGGAAAAGGGTTAAGTGGGTGTTCATTTTGCTGTGCTTACATTGAAGCTTAAAGCGGACCTTTACACTAAAAAATCTAATTCTACCAATGCATCCCTCTATGTATGATGAATAATAACAACACAGACATGTCAGGTGTAAATGCTGTTACTTTGAAATACACTTGCAGAGCATTCACTTCCTGCTACGAAAAGGCAAATGACTTCAGTTTGCCAAAACAATGCACACTGGGATTGTCTTGTCATAAGCAGAGCATTGCTGGGAAATCTCATCTCGGGGAAAAGCATTTTCCTCTCCTGAGATGAACATGGTCACATGTCCTAGTCACATGTTCCAGATTTTAAGGAAGTAAATGGAGAGCTAGTAATCTGCCCTTGGTAAACATGGCCACTGTCAGAAGACAGTGGAAGAAAAGAGAAATAAGATATGCAAAGAATACAAAGCCCGCAATTATCTAGAAGTATGTGTTTGTAGATTGTCATTACTAAACATTTCTAAAGGTGTCTTTGTTGTTATTTTAACGATATGGGTAAAGGTCCGCTTTAAGCTATTCAGCTCTGTAAACAACAGTAAAAAGCTGGTGAGACCAGTTTTGCAAATATGTGAAAAACACCACCTGTTGCTGGAGGCCTAATGTTTCCTTAAAATCCTGTATTACCAAATTATAGGTGATTGTTCTAATCCGTCGTATGGTTGATGCAAGGTTCTACACTCGAGGCTGTGAGCTGATGCAACATAAAGGACAACTACAATTTTCAACCCCCACCCTCCATAGCACTCCAATCTATCCTAAAATCCCTTCCACACCACCAAGGTGCTTACTTGCCTCTCTGTAACAGTGTAGTCCTCCTTCATAGTTTACGTCCTGTGGCCCAAAATCTTCTCTGCCTGCATAGTATTTCCCTATATACTTGAACACTAGAGATGCTAAGGCTGTGGTGCCAGCGCTGGTGAAGATTTCAGGAAACAGGATGTTAACACTGAAAGAGGCCACTATTGCTAAAGAGAGATAAATATCATAGCGAGGAAGGGTGTTCTAGGCTTTCCTACACTCTGCGGCTGAATGGTGTGGAGAAGGGAAGCTCACTAGGTGCTGCTGGGAAATGCAGCTTTTAAGTAACCTACTGCATTGTCCTGCTTGTGAACTTGGTGCTTCTAAGCCTAGGGTATGGCTCTATACTTCTAAGAGGCAGTAGTTCTCTCAGATGGACACCGTTGTCATTATTGACATTCTGCTCAGCGCTGCCATCATCCCAGATGATATATGTAATGTCTGAACAGTAATTAGAGGCCATTTCACATATCTCCAAAAACATTTTTTTAAAATTGGCTTGGTTGCCTTGTGTTGATTTGCTCTGCATTAGAAGAGATCTGTGTGGATAGAGCTGTTAGTGACAGGCTATGACATGATTTGGGGAGAGGACAGGAGACAGGCAGGGTACAATTGCAGCAACAGAATATTCCACTTCACACATTTTCATTACCCTCCCAGAAGCATGAATTTAAATTGCAGAGGAAAACATCTGCAGCCCAGTACACTGGCTTTGTTGTGCCTCTCGCATCCCCAGCCATTTCTCAACCCCAAGTACAAGCTGTCAATGTTCGCCCTTGAATCGAGACATTCATCTAGCTTGGCTTCCAACGTTGTTTTGATGTCTTTCACTCTCATTGTTCCCTTGATTCCACAACATATTCTTAATTTCTCTCCCTCTTATCAGCCAGTGGTGCTCGGTGTATCGTGTGACCGTGGACTTCCCTCCATCAGAGTTAATGGATTTTCCTCTCGCTCACACAAAGGGGGTAGTGTTGGAGAATTTTGGAGCTCGGCGGGGAAATAGTGGATAGGATCAGCCAGTTTGATGGCTGTAAAATAGAGAATTCTTTCAATGTAGGGAGAGGGTACAGTGTTCCTGACCCGTCACTTAAAGAATGTGCTTACAGGAAGACATCCAGAGGCCGAGAGACCCATTTATTCCTATTATAATCAAATGTCCAGTTACAGTTTTAAAACTGGAACTATGATCGGGTCACCATGATGAAGCTTGCATGGCATTTATGTAATAGCCCTTAGTAGAAAACTACTCAGTAGAATGTGCTTATATTCTTTCTAGCTGATTTTTTATGAGCAATAGAATTTTCAGTGTTTTGCTCATAACCACATAGAATAAATATGCAGAATGGACTTGATGTGCTAATCTTAAAGCCGAACTTCAGGCAAATATAAAACCCCCAAATAATGAGATTTTACTGCTCCAAGCTCACTCCTGGGATGGACTACAATCTCATGTTTAGTTTAATCATTTGTGTAGAAATGATAGTCCATCACGAGAGCGAGCTTGAAGCTGTGGCTACTTACAACACACACAGGGACGAGGGGGAATAAGAGTAGCCACCCTCCAGAAGGAAGGACAGTGTCAGCACCAATTTAGATGTGATTTGAGGATCCAAAGCTGGAGTGACACACAAATAAGATATTTTGTATAATAGTTGAGGTACTTGAATGTATTTTTAAGATTTGACTCCTGCGTTTAGTGTCATTTTAAAGGTCAATAAGGAGTGTATGGATCCAAATGGCTCAATACATGTTTCCATATTCACTGGGCATTTAGTTGCACCACATTGACCTGAACAGTGCATATAGCATTCAGCCACCCAGTCCTATTTGCCCATGGACAGTGGGCCAATTGGAACCTGAAAAACAGGTATTTTCTGTATTTAAATGTGACCTTTAAAACTTGTAAACTGCCGGCACAGTTGATATGCAGGTACCTAGAGATCACTTACTTGAGTACTTACGTCAATCTTGCAATGCCCTGGGAGCACTGAAATCTGGGGTGCTTAGTTCCGCAAAATAGTTACCTTAGCTCTGAAGTTGGAATTGTGAGCTGCTCCCCTGTGTTTTATCTTCCCTCCCAATGAACAGAATAAATGGTAACCAGTACTCCAAATTTTCTTCAATATGAAATCCTTTTACTCATTCTAGCAACTCGTATCACTATTGTGTAGCAATGTTTCGGAACCCGTCCGGTCCCTTCATCAGGGAACAGAGTGATGTTCCGAAACACTGCAAGCCATGGTGATATGACCTGCTAGAATGAATAAAAAGATTTCATATTGAAGAAAATTTGGCGTGCTGGTGACCATATATTCTGTTCTTTGAGTACTTGGCCACTTCAGCCCCCCCCCTAACAATATATGGGGCTTCTCGGTCAGGAGTGCAGTGGGACTCCCCATTGTGCAGTGGGACTCCCCACACACACTTTATATTTAAGGCCCCATTCAAACACATAGCCGTAGCGGGAAAATGCGTCGCATTGATGCATGTTCGTACGTGTTTGTGGGCATTTGTTAACTACACTTGGAACATGTCCCCATGAACTTTTGTGTGCATTTGACATGCGTTCCCGGTACGCCTATGTGTGTATGGGGACTAAAGCATGCTATACACTGATGAAATTCTGCCTGTTTACAGCTGAATTGCCAAGATTTGATTAGCGGGTGATCCTGTCGCCACAACGAAATCGACTTTTGTTGAGGGAGCTGGTTGGAAAATTGTCAGTCAAAAATTGACTGCAGCCAATTAGTTGCAGTCACACTTAGGGTATTTTTACAGCAGCTGGCAAAATGCAATAGACACATGGAATCGAGTGAGCAGCCCCTTGGCAGGTGCATGGTTAGCTTTATTCTCTTACTCTTATCAGGGCATGTCAAAGCCAACCCTACTTTATTGAGATTACCTTGTTCAGGGTTTGTTTGTTTTTTTGTTGTCAGATCACAGCTCACCCATTGACTTGCACTGAAAGAGGGGAGCAGTATAGCACAATCACTGTAAGTGTAACTTAGCAGGAAGCAGAGTCTACATATGTACAGTAACTAGTGATAAGATTCCATTTACACATATATATTTAAAATCTATAACATTAACACATCGATGTGATGCATTAAATGAAACTGATCACATTGACATATACTGTACATCAAAAAGAAAAATGAAGTAAATTGTACTCAGCAGATCCTGTTTCCTGATACTTCAGTTCTCTCTGTGTCTTAAATCGGATGTCTTTTTAGGTTTTTCTTTTCCTAGGCTGGTAATGACGGATCTCAGTTACCACTTTGCAGCACACCCATTGCTCAGAGATTAATGCCTGTCTGTTTGTGTTGCAGGGATTACAGTAAAATAAAAGAAGCTTATGAAGCCATGAAAAATGTTGCCTGTTTAATTAACGAGCGGAAACGGCGGCTGGAGAGCATAGACAAGATCGCCTGCTGGCAGGTCTCCATAGTGGGGTGGGAGGTGAGTAGTGATGGCAGCATGCTCAGTGTTGGAATCTTTTATTAGAATGATGACTGTTGAGGAAAGACCTGATTTTAAGTGGAAATTCTCACTGTCAGTTGGTGATTGTGAAACTTTACAGGAAGATCTAGCGCACGTTCAGCTCGGATGGTTAAATTAGAAACTGTTCTAAAAATTCTTCCTCCCACGCCTTTCTTTCCTTCAGTAATGTTGACAGATATATACATAGAAATAGTGTGTTTTCTCTCTCTCGTACATGTATACAGTATTGCACAATTCCACTTGTATTTAGTCGTACGCAAACTATTGCATTAGGGTGTGCACACAAAAGTACAACACACACACACACACACACACCTGGGGCAACCTGGATTGCCAGCTCTTCAACTGTCCCCGTCAACACCCCCTTCCAGCAGGGGTGCCATAATGAAGCACAGACACACTCCCTTGCAGCTTGCCAGGCTGTTATGTGAGGAATGTAAGTGGCAAGTGCTGCTGCACTCTGAATCGCTGAGGTGGTCCAAGAGAGATCTTTGTGATCTCTCCCCCAGCTCAGTGACTAAAACCAACCGTTGTGGTTTTGGTGTTGCCATTGGGGTGTGCCCAGCTATATGCCAATGGACCCGAGCATCACTAGCAATAACAGAGCAGTGTAGGGTGTGATGGGTACATATGTGCAGTGAAAGAGCTCACTGTGTAGGGGGGCTGAGTTATAACAAGGGAACCTGGAGAAAAGTAAGGTGGTAGTTATTTATGGCAACCAGATTCCTTGTCTTGTATCCTCAGTAAATCTGCCTGCCAATCAACTGTCCATGACTCGGTCCAATTGTTGAGCCAGAGGAAATCTCACCGCTCCAATTCCTTAGCCGCCATCAGGTCCTATTATTGTATAGATCCATAGAATTGGGCAGCGTATGGCAACCTTGACTGTCAAACACTTATGCACAAATTTTAATTTGGCTTCTTTTTATGAACACTGCTGCTTGGAATGTTATAGATGATTGTCTGAACCAGGGACAGTGAGTAGGATGAGGGCTTCACCACCATGAAGCTTTATGGCCCATTTACAATTGTGTGTGCATTTAGGCACACAGTTGTTAAAGCATGATGTGTTAGGGCAGCCAAATAATTTAGAATGCTGGCAGCACATCTCAAGGCCTGATAAACTGTACCTGCAGCATTTTGGGCAGTGCAGTGCACAACAAGTATGTGAGTAATGGTGCGATGTAGCTGGTTTTAGCTGGAATGCTATCTACATGATCTATTGATGGGATGGGTAGAGGCAACTACTTTATATGGGTATTGGGTACTTGATGTAGATAGCTGCCCTACCATTGTAAATTGATGAAGTATATCAAAGAAAATCACCGCCATAATTCTCAATCCAGTCTCCGAACCCATAAATGCATCAGGTGCAGGTCATGAGCCAGTCATCGCTCCCAGATCTCACTCCAAATGGTTGACTGCAAATCGCTCGTCATTACTGAATAAAACTTTTTTATAGAGGTTCATAGTTCATAATCACATGTAGTCCCTGCCTTTTCCACTGCCCCCCCTGATGCATTTCACCCTCACAGGCAGTCAATTGTTTGGAGTGATATTGGTAAAGCATTTAAAAGTAATAATCTCACCATTCCTAATAATAAAGCTATGCAAAGATTAGACTGGAATTATTCTTCCAATTATGATTGGTCCTCTTCTTTTTTTTTTTTATGTAGGGACAAGACATTCTGGCCAGAAGCTCAGAGCTCATTCATTCAGGAGACCTGACAAAGATTTTAAAACAAGGAAAGAGCCAGCAAAGGACTTTTTTTCTTTTTGACCACCAACTGGTCTTCTGCAAGAAGGACTTGCTACGCAGAGACATTTTGTACTACAAGGGCCGCATAGACATGGACGAGATGGAGTCCACTGACGTTGAGGATGGGAAGGACAGGGACTTCAATCTGAACATTAAAAATGCTTTTAAGATGGTGAATAAAGAGACTGAAGAAATTCATTTATTTTGTGCTAAGAAGCCAGAGGACAAACAGAGCTGGCTGCAAGCGTTTCTGGATGAGAGAAAGCGAGTCCAAGACGACAAAGCTATGGGTGAGTACATGTGATGTGTCTATCCAAAATTCCGTATTTGGTGGATCAAACACTGGCTTTTGTATGTGTTGTAGCAAAACCTGAACAATCTACTCCATTCCAGAGGGGAAAAGCCTTGTACAGGAAAGATAGAAGAATAGCCCTTATTGAAAGAGGATTTATTTTCTTGTTATAATCTTAACCAACAAGTTTGTGTGTTTTAGTATATCACCTTCATTGGGACTTTAAACAAATGATATAAAAGAAACAATATTAGAACCATATATATAAAGGTGATGGTTAAACATTTTATAGAGTTAAATATGTAGGAAAATGACATATAAATCCGTGGATATGTTTTATAGTATGATCAAGAGCAATCAATATGTTTTCCAGTAGCAATGCTGAATGCTTTTTAACTTAAGAAAAAAAAAAAATCCAGCAGAGGGTGTACAGGGTTGTGGACAAATGTGTTGATATCTCACATTAGTGGCTTGCATATGAGAAAGTGGGGTAGATCTTCAAATATTCTATCCTATCTATCATATCCTATCTATCTATCTATCTATCTAGTATGTGTGTGTGTGTGTGTGTGTTCGAAGAGGTCCATAATTTTGACAACATAGCATTTCATCCTAATATAGTTGCTAATGCCACTTTGTGGTCCATATGTGTTCTATGCGTTCTGCATTTCCCGTATGATTTGTATTCTGGAGCTATCATTATTATGCATCTATTAGCTGAATATAGTGACTTCACTGCCATAAGTCATATTGCCCTTGCTGCCGGTTAAATCTGAAATTTAATTGACGCATATAGTCTGGAAAAAGAGGAATACTGATGAAATGCCAGAGCATATGACCATCATAGCAAGATCTGTCTCCAATTAGTTTGTTGTCATAAACACATGGGGTTTACATGCATTGGGTTAACTTGTATTGCCAATGTTTTCTTGTTGACTTTAACCCTTTCGCTGCCAAGGACGTGCGGCATACGGAGGTACAAAAGTGCTCCCGGCTGGCCAGCTCAGTATGCCGTACAGACCTGGCACATGGGGTTTACATGCTTTGGGTTAGCTTGTATTGCCAATGTTTTCTTGTTGACTTTAATGAGAGACTGCAAAACCATCCAAAATATTGTACGTTCCTATTGAAAACAGTGTATTGTTCTATGTCAACGTATTTTGCTTGTACTGGAAAATATATGTAAAAGCATTCATAAATTGTAATTGTACAGGAAATGAACCCTATAAGTTGTTAGTAGGCAGCATAGTGTTATTACTTCACGATCCCTCCGCTGTGACCCAGGAGCCTCTTAATTATTTCCCAGCAGTGTCTGGGTTTCATGGCATTGTGGGATGTGATGGGGCGGTGCCTTTACCCAGTTTCTAAATTCAATCTTGCGTAACTTGGGGCTTCCAGAATGTGGTGGAGACTCTTTGAAGTTAGTGACAGTGATTGGCAGACACCAGATAGTACCTACTTAGAACATTCTTTAGAACAAAGCTGAGTGGGCAGACTCTGTTTTAAATGACCATGAAACCTTAAAATAAAAGGGAAAAAAAGAATAAATATCACATTGAACGTTTCAGATACATATGGAAATGTTTTCGACATCTTATCAGAGTTGACTGTATTTGAGAAAAAATTTCAGTTATGTGGACAGCTATTTTACTAAGCAGAAAGATATGGGGGTCTTCCCCCAGTTATGCCTTTTTGTGGCGGATAACAACATATAGGTGCCACTTGGATACAGAATGTCAGACACATTTTAAAAAAAATAATAATACTTTGTTTAATTTAAAGCAGGCAATTTTATTCTAAATCTAAAATGTAAATAAAAGTGTCATGAGGTGTGTACCACTTTAGGCATTGTTGTACTTTCTACAATATGTACGCTCTCCTTAAGGCCGGATAGTATAGCTCTCTCTATACTGTGATGCTGAGACTTTGAGTGCTGCGGCGCTTCTACACGGAAACCTCACTCAAGTTTTGTTGCCCTTCCCCCCTTTGCCTATTCACAGAATGCTTTGTGTTCTGTAAGCCATTCATGGCCGGCCGGGAGCTTTACATTTAAGCGATCGGGCGTCTCTAGAGACACCCGAACGCTTGTATTACCTGCAGCTGCCGTTGCCGGTCCCGAGATTCGCTGTGCCCGATGCAGCCGGGACCGGCACGGCTCTGTGACAGGAGATCAAAGGGCGTTCAGTATACGAACTCCCTTTGATCTCCTCTCAGTCCCCGAATGCAGGAAGTGATGTATATTACATCACTTCCTGCATTCAGTGTCACTCTCCAGCTACAGAAGCTGATGAAGCAGATCTCTGCTTCGTCAGCTTCTCTGGGGGTCCCTAGGTGTCATTAGGGGTCTTGGAGACCCCTGATGTCTCCATAAAGAGGACCTGTCATGTAAATTGGCTATTACATAGGGGGCTTCTTAGCCCCCCCTGAAATAGCAATAAAGCTGGGTGTAAAAAAAAAAAAAGTAATACTAAAATTAAAGAATCATAAAAAAAATATGAAAAAAGAAAACATTAAGTCCCCTCCCCCCATATACACACGCAGATATGCGTCGGGTGCGCCTACGTGCGAAAACGACGATTGCGCCTATTGTGCCGCACATGTTAAATATCGCCGCAAACGTCGGAGTGAGAGCAATAATTTTAGAGCCATTAATCACTGATAACACTAGACTGATGAGCAGTAAAAGCGTTTTTATCGTCGCCTATGGGCGTTTTTTGCGATTTTGCGGGCACACACAATTTTAAGGCTTGACGTGTTTGGTGTCTATTTACCCGACGTGTTTTTACTAAATTTTATGTTTTACTAAAAATATGGGTAAGAATAAATGTTTTATAACATGATGTAGGGAAACTTTGATTTTGTTTTTTTTACATTTATGGTACTCTTTTCATTATATAGTAGAAAAAATAACCCCCCTCCCCCCTTGTGGTGATGATATACCTCCAAAAGAAAGCTCTATCTGTCCCCAAAAAATGTTCACATAAATTGCAAGGCTATAGTCCGGTCATGCTGACTGGTGAATTTTTTGACTGACTGGTGACACCATCTTCCAAGGAATTGAGAATGCCAATCAGCAGTGTTCAAACGCTAATCAAGAAGTGGAACATGAGGGGTTCTGTTGAAACCAAACCACGGTCAGGCAGACCAACTAAACTGTCGTGTTATCATTCATATTCTCTGAAAAATGGCAAGGAAATCCTAAATCCTGCCAGGGTATGTAAACTTATGAGCACAATATATGAGCATATATCACACACACACACACACACACACACACACGTGTGTGTGAGTTATATATACACATACACTTTTTTTTATTCATTAAATACACGATAAAGCACATAACCTTATACTTCTCACCTCTTGATGTGCATCTGAAAAGAACATTAGAAGTGACATTTCCATTAAAGTCAGTGGAATGTGTTTTGATTTGGAAAATTAATGAATTTGTGTGAAGATTGAAAACTTTGCAGTTTTCATATAAGAAACCTCTTTTGGTGCTTGTGTGATTTCATTCTGTTGCATTCAGCACACAAGGCTCATCTGTTCCATTACAGAATGGTATAAGTTACCTAAGTTACCGATGATTTTCCTTTGCTTATTGGTATAGGTTTATATGTACACATGTGTCATTCTGTAAGAGGTGTGCCATTCTCATATGTTGGCTCACTGGTGGAAGATGGGAGCCCTCATAAATTTCATTTTACTCATACAAAATTATAACGGTTCCATGCACAGCAGAGGAGTGGTACTAAAAATAGCTCAGTACGCTGATAACACTTGTACACTGTACTCATTACTGATCTCCATACAGGAAGTCATAAGGGTTGGTACAGGCACAGTATGGTCCCCACTGATCTTAAATCGGGGTGGGCACAGACCACAAATATTTCTGGACATCTGTCTTAAGGGCTCAGCTAATTTACTTATTTGCTACGCCCCCCTTCCCAGCTTCAGAAACTAACACCAGATTGGTAACAGGCTATATTTAGATGTCATATATTTAGATACCAGCAAGGAGGTTTTGTTAGAAAAGTTGGTCCGCAAGGAGCCCATACACATAACTTTTCTATCTCTTGGGAACTTCATTACTCTAAATTTCTACCACAGTTTGTAGTTCTGTTTCTTCACTCTGCAATGACCCCTTTAAAGTATATCTACATTACTTTTTATTAATATGGTGGCTGCCAGGGTGGGAATAGATCCGATGTCAGCCAGGTAGCTAGCATTTCCAAAACGAGAGATCCAAGCAGTTGCTTTTCTTTCTAAAACTCTCATTCCAGAGGTTCAACATGCTCCCTGCTAAGTCAGACATATAGCACTGCAACCAGCAAAGCTCTTGCCCCTGCTGATTGAAATGCTCTGATTCAGCAGAGGGTGTGTTGGACCTCTGCAAAGAGGCCGCTGCTTTCACACAGAGAGCAAGGGTCCCTCTCTGCAGCATGCTGGCAGGGCACAGGCTTTTCTAGGCTGTGTTTGATTTATAATAAAACAAACACTAAGACTTTGCACACCTTTTTGTTTTAATGCAATTGGAAAGTATTTAATTTTAATTGAATGTTCAACTGGCCTTTATATTGGCCTTTAGTCCACTTTTGTTTCCTATAAAGGCAAGCATACACTGAACAATACTTCCACAATCTACAAAAGAGTATGTTAAGCCAGTCAAAATGGAAGACCTAAAGAGTAGCTGATTGGATGACATGGAGCTTTCCCTCTAATACTTCAGTCAGCTTTGTAAAACAAAATCTCTTAACATCTACAAAATATTCGATGTGAATGGAGGATTGTTTTTTGGGGTCTTGTGTTTTTGGTTCCAAACTGATCCTCACATGTATGGCCAGTCTAATACCTTAGGCGCTGGCTGTTTTCTAACTCCATTCCAGTAGCGATATAATAAAGAAGTAATGGAGGAGGCACAGGACAGCTTGATGCAATCGTTGCATGTTTTTGGCATGTCCTGTCATATGAGCCGTATAGTGGCTATTATGATGACTTGCTTGCTTCAATACATTAAATAATGAACTATGCATGGCAGAAATGTCAGCTCCTTGTACACATCTGCTATTCATTATAGAGCCAGGCAGCTAACATTTTCAGAAGTAAAAGTCAGTAATGGTATTCTTTGTGTTTCTGCCATAACAATTATCCTTTAAGAAAATTGCTTAGAAAGCAAAAATCCTACTGGCAAAGCCTCTGATAGAAGCAGCCATGATTCACATGCCACATGATGGTTTTAGCGCAGTGAAGATGAACCTATTTAGCGAGTGATGTAACATGGCGTGCTTGCCTTTCTCTTCGAGCTAGCAAATGGCAGCTTCCATCGCAGGCTTTTGAGGTGTCCTGCTTTGTGACAGTCCGTGGTCCCAGACTACATTGGCTTCATTGGAAGTGATAATTGGACTTTCCCAGGGACAGAATAGTCTAAATGATCAGCAAGGTACAAAAAACTCCTTCCCGTACTGGAATTCTTGAGCGATTGGAAATAATAAGTGGAATTTCATGTATGTGGCAAACTTGAGTCATGCCTGACTTATTCTGATTTGCTCCTTCCTGGAATCTTTGTTGCTATGTTCCAAGTTATGTAAGCACAGCATGTTGGTGCATCAGGTAACTCCCACGACCCCAGAAGTATTTATACAGATATAAAGTAGAGGGCTTTATCAGAATACAGGAGAACATTACACCGCCGCTCACCGCTTCATCCTTCACAGCCATGGCAGGTAAATTCTGCTTTTCTTCATATTTGCTTTGAGTGCTGAAGGGTCTTATGTAATAAGATTTGTATATATTTCCGATTGATTATTCATTATAGTCCATCATACTAATATATGATTTTACTTTTTGAAATCCATCACTCTGGCGTGCAGCAGTTTTCTGTTATTAGTATCAATAATATGTTCCTCCTGGCCTTCCCTTGTACCTGATCCAAGTCGGATGTTTTCGGTAGATATATCCATACACTGGCCCCCATGGGAAGATGATTATACAAACTTTCCAATAATTAGTCTGAGAGACTATAGTTTGGTTACTGTGTTCTGATTTTTTTGGGCACATCATACACAGTCACTCACCCCAGTGATGATGATGATGGTGATGCTGATCAATCTCACGCTATTGTTCAGTGATGTGCCTCAGCGTTAAACTAATAGCTGGGGGACAAGTTCTAGCTGATATTTTCTCCAAACTCATTTTATGGTGACCACAGTATATACACAGTGAAAGCATTGCCCTGTATCACAATAGAAAATTGAGCAACCAAATTATCCTTCATATAAAGTCCTCTGCATGCTTGAAATGCTCTATGATGACTATACTATGTCAGACATCAAGACGTGATCCAACTGCCTAAAGGTTTCTTGTACAAAACCTCTTTCTATAGACATTGCATTGGCCGAACTTACATGTTGATGCCTTTTGGAGGAGAGAGGCAGAGCTATTAGCAGACATGTCTATACTGAGACAAAATATGAAGGCTTCCATTGCAAGGCTCTACTTCTGCTAGTTGCTGGGCTGTAATGGTGATCCACTGGCTTCAGTACTTTGAGTCCTTGACCTGAAAGTATGTTTATATAAAGTTCCAACTTCCCTTACAGCATGATTGTTCCTTAGCAACAAAAATGCCATCAGAATGAGAGATCACTTTGGACTAGTTGTTACAGGTTACTGCATTTAGTAATATAGGCCGAACTTTATAGATCCTTGTGAATGGACACCTGTGCTGCTGAATGTATAAATCATTTTACTAGTTACGGTCCACAATTGCTTTTACTTGTTTGTTCGGATGACTTGTAACATTTGCTTGGCACAATGAGAGTTAAAGCTGCATCACAATCTGGAAGAGGCATAAGATGTCAGCGAGCAAAATATGAAAGCCTCATCAGCTTTAAAGCTGTATCACACCTCTGGTGCTTGGCGGCCTGGTTTGATGTAGCATAGATAACGTGCTGTCCTTTTTTGTATCTTCATATGAACAGGAATTAATCGTTCTTGATTTCATTGCAGGAATGGAAATTACAGAAGACCAGAAAAAACAGGCGTTGTGCAATGCAAAGAGGTCAAGACAAGGAAAGATGAAAGGTGAGAGCTACAATAATGATCCAGTCGAATATATGAACAGTATATTGTCTTTTATTGGTATACTCATATGAAGTCGTTAGGACTGGGAAGTTATTCAGAGGCTAAATCTCAAATTATAGAAATATTGAGAAAACATGACAGTATAAGTAGTAGAAACAATGTGCAGCATAGGTGGCAGCAGCCAAGGATTTCAAATAATGTTCATACTGTACCTCAAGCCTACCTATTGAGGTGCGCCATAGCTGCCCTGACATGTAGGTAGCATTTGGCAAGTGTCAAAAGCCTCTTTTGTTAACGTGCAGTGCAAACAAAGCCACCAAGTTGATGCTGCATTCCGTTTACCCATTACAAATGTACCAATCTTTGGTATAATCCCTCCAACAAATTTTCAACCTGGCTATCAACACCCCTAGAAGTGATGGCCTGAGAGTATCTGTGACGGTCCTGTGTCCGGAAGAACTCTGGTAGTCATCCAGAAAAACCAACGGGCCTTAAAAAGTGGGCAATGGGTATCTACCTTTTTATACCTTTTTATAGTAGTTAGTCTTGCACACTGACATCTTGGAGATCAAAAGATGGATGAATACTGCACAGCTTCCCTTTCTGTATATTAAATGGCAGCAGATGGACACAACTGCTTCTTGGTGACTTAAAGTGACATTAAACCCTCAGATTTTTTAACATAAAACAATAGTGTAATGTGTGCCTTACTGTAATCCATGGTTGTTTCCCTTCTCTTTGCTGCTCTTCCTTTTAAATTTGTGTCTGTTCTCATGCTGGGCAGAACTTCTGTTTTGCAGCAGACTGCCTTGTCTCTGAAAGGGATACACGGTGTCTGTGTGTTGGTTTGCAACCTGAGCCAGCACTACAGGAAGAGGCACTCAGCTGCAAAGGGAAGTTCTCCCCAAGCATGAGAAGACATGAGGATTTAAAAGGAAGAGCAGCAAAGAGAAGGGAAACTACCATACATCACAGTAAGGAACACATTACAGTATTGGTTTATGTTAAAAAAATCTGAGGGTTTAATGTCGCTTTAAATGAAGAAGTTCCTATTGCTGTTCCCAGCTCTGCTCCCTTTTGTAGTCTCGGGTAGACAAAAACATCATGGTGAGGGGCAGTAATACTGGGAACTCTTGCATGCTGGCATTATTAAGACATAAAAAAAGTCTGAGCGAGTAGCAAGCTGGCATCTAGCCATAACTAAATATTCTATTTTGGGTGGACTGACCCTTTAAAGCCTTTGGATCTAGCTAAGTGAACAGACTGCTACTAGGATATAATACCAGTAGAGAGCCGTATCTGTGCCGCAAAACAGGATAACATACATACATACATACATACATACATACATACATGTACTGTACATGGCTCACAGCAGTAATGGGAATTACTATGTGACTTGTGATTAAAATTTCATTGTAAATCGATGCATATTTATAGACTGCTCATGCTGTGCCAAAATATTTTCTGTGCTACCAGAGACCCAGTTCCCAACAGACAATGCCTCAGGCTTGCTATGACCCGGGCACATCTAGCAATGTAACATCTAGTACAGATTCATATAATTGAGTGGAAATAGGACTGCAATTGCCAGTGAGTGGGAGGAAATCACAGTTTATTGACAGCCACACTGCAGTCAACTGTTACCAAGCAGCGGTTCAGCTCTACATAAAACATTAGATTTAGATATAAGAAACATTTCAGAATCCAATGCTAGAATAGTGTTTGCATAAATTATATATTTTTTTAAATTGCTGTATTTAAAGGAAACCTTTGTAAGTGAATTGCCTAGGCTGCCATTGCTAATCTACCAGGAATGCTAGCTGACTGGCTGTCAGACTGATCCAGTGGCTGTAATGCGTTCGAGTCCCTGACCCAGAACAAACATGCAGATCAAGAGATCTAAATTCACTTTTACACCTGTGTTCCAGTTCAGAAACTTAGAAACTATGGAAACCACAGGCAGTCATGCAACCAACATTTTCAGTAACTGCAGCACACATGTGCCCCTCACAACATGTTTCCTTTAGGGAGCAAATGGTAACAACCTGTGAATTTGAACATTATGAAAGCTGGTGATATCCCTTTACTGTCTATAATTTATTAGACTGCTCACTTCTGAGCAGGACTGTGACCTGTTTTTTAATAATGGTCTGCAACCACTCTTACGCTCCAGTGTAAATTGACTTGGCTGTGTGTGAGAGGCGCTAGAACCAGGGACACATTGGCCTCCAATATTACAGGCTTGGTCATCCATTCTAAAGAGGAGAATACTGGCAGCTGTCTAAATTTAGATAATGGGGCAGCCAAGTGTCTAAGGGTGGAGTGCAGAAGGGGTCGAGTTGGTGTAAGCGTGAGCAGCATGTAAAGTGTAATGCCCTGAATGGGTACAGTACGGGTTTACTTTAATTTATGCATACCACTGTAATTACTTAGACACTTCATTTATTTAACTCTGGTCTCTGTCACAGGTGTTACTTACAATGGACTCCCCCCCCACCAGAACTTACATCCCATCCACCAGCGACACATCACTGTGCCCACCAGCATTCCCCAGCAGCAGGTCTTTGCACTGGCAGAGCCCAAGAGAAAGACGTCTCCGTTCTGGAACACAATCACTAAACTCGCCCCCTTCAAGAAGTGAGGTGCTCCAAGCCCCATCATGAAGGAGGACTGTATTCCTGAGTTCTTGAAGGACCTTCCAGTATTTTTGGAGATATATCTGATGACACTGTGGGTTATATGAAGAAATTGACAATTATGTGAAATACCGGGGGAAGTGATCCCTTGTGCAGCGTGCTCTGTCAATAAGGACGCCACCTTGGGGACTACTTGCTATTTGAACAATATTTTATTTATTTCAAAGATGGATATTATTTGATGTTATGGCTGTTTATTGTTTTTTTTATGTAATTTTTTAAAAAAATCTTTCATTAGAGACATTTACCTAATGCGTCTCGTAGGTGTGCTTCAGTTTGTGGTAATCTACGATGGCCAAAAAAAATAAATCAGAAAATAACATTGGCTGGTTAAGGGACAGCGGTGGCCATTTTGCTCCATAGAGATGTTTATGTGGGGTTATAATCCACTATTTTAATGAATTTAGGTTTTTAACAGAATTTGTCCAAGCTAGCGCAATCTACAATACAGTCACAGGTACCCTACCTCTGAAAGGCAATTGATCCAGAATTAAAAAATAGGAGGAGCATTTATAAAGGTATGATTTAAGGTCTTGTTAAAGCTACAATGCGTATCTTTACAGCTCTGTAACCTAGGGCTGCGTTCAGCACAAAAAAAAAGGTTTGTGTTAGATTTACATGAGTACAGTGTATTGGTTGCTGGGACGCTAGACGTCTAGAGCCGCCTGCGACCTAGCAACAAAGGATATAGACCAGCCTTTCAGTGCATGTGCTGCTTCTGATGAATGACTCAGAGCTGACATTACATTTCAACATTGTGTAATCAGAGGTACAGGCACTATGCATTGTTGATCTTAACATTTTAGCCGGCAAGAACTAATAGGCTGAAGTAACACTGAATGCATGTAAATGCAACACAAACGTACATGTGTACACCATATGAACACCAGCAGTGGCCAATAGGCTGCACTAATGTCAAATGCATGTAAACGTTGTACACAGGATTGTGCTGCCATCTTTTGTCGACCAAGATCCTGCGTGTTACGTTGAGTACTTCCGTACCTCCATGTCTAGGCGCCCTTAATATTCACATTGCTTCCTAAGCCCAATTGAACTACCTACTGGTAGTAACCATTGATAGGTTGAACTTGATGGACTTGTCTTTTTTTCAACCTGACTATATGTAACCAATTGGAGTCCACTCTGCTGAGACTTTTATTGTAAAGAGGATCTCTTCTTTGAAGTTTACACTCGGGATACATATACTGATAGTGGACAGATTACTACAGAATTAAGGAAACCAGACAGTCCAGTGAAGGAGACAGTTAACACATTTTAAGCCACAGTAAAGTTTACATCAAATATTTTGTATGTGGCTTCAACATCTTAATGTGTTTTTTTGCCATATATTTACTTTTTAGTCAACTTTTCAGATTTCAAGATAAGCCACGTACAGGGATAGTATTGCTTCAGTTTATCTTAGCAGACTGATAGATGTTCACTGAGAGGAAGGAATAATACAGCACTGTTATACACGGAGCACAGCTTTCACATGTAATGAACGAATATGGTTTCCCCATGTATGCATATCATAAATACTATAAATAGGAACATCTGACCTGTAGATTCCCATTAGGAACAAGTGAAGACAAGCTCCATTGAAAGCAATAGACTGAATTTACATTAAACCTTTCCAGAGAAATATATGGGGGCTGCCATTGCTGACTTGTTTCTGCTGGCTTTTATTTCACATCAATACTTTGCTACTAAACCAGAAGCCAAGTATGCAGATCAGGAAAGTAATAGAAAAGACAGAAGTCCATTTTACACTCGTGTGTTGTCTGTTAGTCAGTGAAAAGTATTGGAACCAGATGGCCTGCATGGCAGCCAGGCATATTAAAGTGACACTAAACTCAGGAGTTAAAAATGAAAAATGCATTCAAGTACACAAACTATTAACAATTCTGGACCTCGTTTGTACATAACTCGGCTGTAGATCTTCAAATTGTAGTCTATTGCAGGAGCGAGCTTGGAGCGGTGACTACTTTACAACACACACAGGGACCAGGGGGAACAAAAGTAGCCACCCTCCAGAAGGAAGGATAGTGTCGGCACCAATTCAGAGATGATTTGAGGATCTTGTTTGATAGTTAAGGTAGTTGAATACTTTAAGATTTAACTTGAGTTTAGTGTCACTTTAAGCTATTGTAGAATGATGTCAATGGCAGCCTCCAATATTCTTTTAAATAGGAATAAGTTGTAATTCCCTGAACACGTTGGTTGCCTGACTGTTGTGATTTCTCCTGTCTTGACATAAAAGGGCAGACCAACCATACAGTTCCTACCATCTGATCGTGGCAGCAGCATGCCAAAACCACAGATGTGTGTGGATATATTTAAATGGCAGTTTTTGTTTAAGAGCATACGGATGCATACATGAAAAGTCCCCCATTAAAACGAATCGTGCAGAGTTTGCTATGGCCTGTAGAGTGTGACCACAAAGCCTTATAAGACTCAGCAGTCTTCCTTCCCTTACTGCCTGGACAAAAGATTTACATCTGTGTTTGGATCATTCACAGAGCACTTTGTGTATCACTGCATAAACGCTAAAGGAAGAGAAAGTGTCTGGGGTTTCCGCAGTTCCAGTTAGATGTCAGCGTTTTTTTTATCAGGCTGGTTGGCTAATAAACCAATTTGACATTAGCCAACCCCTTTCTTTAGAATAGTTTTTTTTTTTAATAACTCGGGCCAGAGGAAGTAAGATTTGTATGTCATGACTGCCTCTGTTCATTCAAGCTCTTTTATATTTCTAATTTTATATACTGTATATATCCCCTTCAAGAGCCAATTCAATTTTAGATTCCTTGGGTATGACATGTCGAGGAGGAGTTGTCAAATTCTAGGAGAAAGATTTCAAAGTTTTTTGTTTTTTTTTACCACGCAAGTTGCAGCTTTTTGAAATGCTTCCATTCCAATGGTCCTGAAAAGTTTTCAGTTGTAATCAGCTTTGAATGGCAGAGGACTGGTTATAGAAAATCCCTGAGCTACAGGAGATGTTGTACCTAGAATAAAAGGGAGCAGTTAAAATTTAGCTTTAGTAATAAAAAGACAAATCCTACCATTATCTGCCTCACAACCCTGGACAATGAGCCAGTTTATCTTTTAGAGCCCTTTTTACAACATTAGCTTTTATAGTTGCCACACAACTTGCGAGTTTGCCTTTAGAAAACCTGACCTTTTGTGAATTGTCCATATACATTAACAAATGATCTTTTTTGACTGAAGTACTCCCAAAACAGATTTTTCAACGCTTTTGGAAGGGTGAAAGGGGAACCTGCAAGGATACAGATATAACAGACTAAATTTCGGGAGTTGAAATTGCAGCCTTGTTCTTGTAGATACTCAATGAAGATTCCTAATTGTTAAGTTCAGGGGTTACTGCACTTAAGAATTAGAAGGACCAAATTGCAAAGCAAGGATTAGGCCCTGGGAGCTGCACCTTTTAAATGCAATTAAGATCCCACATTGCTACCCTACCAGGCTCTTTTTATTCAGTACCCACGTTCTTACACCTCTTGGTATTTGTTGGGAAAATGTTTGCATTGGGGTTCCCATCTCTGCCCACTTGGCATGGAAATTATCCAGGCTAAAGCATCAGGCTCTGGCTTCTCACTTTGTTTTACTCCATGGGGAGTGCAGCAGTGATATCCCTTGCTAGGCTTACAAATGAACCCTGCATGTGAAAAGCTGAGAACTCCAGACAGAAGATGCAGGAGTCTTTTTAGAATGGTAAAACGTCTGATTGTTACTCAACCCTATGAAACTTGAAATATATGTTTTGGGTGGAGGTATCCTTTATAAATGGCCGCCACAATAAGCCTTTGTCAATTTCATGGTATCCTATTTAAAAAGACGCATTATCTGTAACGAGACCTATTGTGTATTTATTTTGTATAGCTAACCGTTTCTCCCAAAATGTTCTGTTGTCTCTATTTTTCATAATGAAAAATCTTTCCCCCCTACCTAATAACACATGGAGATTTGTAATGATTTGCAGGCGTCTTTCTGATTATGTTACAGAGTAATTGCTCACGTGTGTTAACGCTGAAATGTATTTTCTCAGTTCAGTGTTAATATGAAACTATGAACCAAACCTGTTTGTAAATGCATTGTAGTTTTGTGACTGAAATGTTACATTGCACTGGACGTTTCATTAAGTTCCAGTGTTTTTTGTTTTTGGAAAACCTTTTAAAAATTGCTTGTTACTTCATCAAGCAGACTACACAACTTTGTGATGATGTGTGTTCTGTTACAAAGACGTTTAGTGGGGAAAGGGCCACATGGGTATTGCACACAAAGTTAAAGTGACACTAAACTCAGGAGTTAGTGCAATACATTCATGTACCTTAACTATTACCAAAAATGTATCTTATTTGTGTATCACTCGGCTGTAGATCCTCAAATCATCTCTGAATTGGTGCCGACACTGTCCTTCCTTCTGGAGGGTGGCTACTTTTGTTCCCAATGGTCCCTGTGTGTGTTGTAAAGTAGTCACCACTCCCAGCTCATTCCTGTGATGGACTACAATTTCACATTTGGTTTACTAATTTGTATTGAAGTTATATTCTATCACAGGAGTGAGCTTGGAGCGGTGGCTACATTACAACACACACAGGGACCATAGGGAATAAAAGTAGCCCCCCTCCAGAAGGAAGGACAGTGTCGGCACCAATTCAGAGATGATATGAGGACCTAAAGCCAATACCCAAATAAGCTCCAAGCTCCTGTGATGGACTATAATCTTAATGCAAATGAATAAACTAAACGTGCGATTGTAGTCTATCACGGGAGTGAGCTTGGAGCGGTGTCTACTTTACAACGCACGCAAGGACCATGGGAAACAAAAGTAGCCACCCTCCAGAAGGAAGGACTGGCCACCCATGTAAATATTTTATTCTATTCGTTTTTTGCATCTTCTGCAGCCTCTTTCAGCAACTTACTGCCTATATACACTCCACCGTCACATGCACATCATAATTCTAGACCACCCTCCTGATAGTGACAACAGTGAAACATGTCTGTGCAATGTATGCAGGGCCATTTGTAATCTCCATTGGTGTGCATGTGACAGGGTGACAACGCAGGAGCACAGCTGGGAGATAGTTGTCACCTCACAACAGGAAGTGTATGAATAAGGAACG